CTGCTGGCTGCTCACGCTGGCTGCTGGCTACACACGGTAGCCCATGGCAACCCACTGCAGCAGGGGCTGCAGCCTACGCCATCACCGGTGACTCACGGCAGCCCAGCTCCAGGTTGAGCTGTTGTACAGCATCTTAGCTATGGAGGGTAGTGTCACTGGCCCTCATATGTGGGATCCGAACCGGGGCCCTCTGGCGTCCCAAGACAGTTCTTAACCATCGCACCACTTGGCCAGCCCATTTTTTTCTTTTTTTATTGTAGTAAAATATATATAATATGAAATTTACCATTTTACCATTTTTAGATGTACAATTTAGTGGCATTAGGTGCATTTACAATGGAGTGCAACCATGACTGCTATATCCATTTCCAGATTTTTTTCATCATCTTAAAAGAAACTCTGTACCTGTTAGACAACTCCCCATTCCTGCCCCCAACCTCAGCAACTGGCAACCTCCATTCTACTTTTGTCTCTATGAATTCTGCCTATTCCAGTTACCTCATATAAATGGAATCATACAGTATTATGTGACTGATTTATTTCATGTAGCATAATGTCCTCAAAATTCATCTATGTTATAGCATGTGTCAGTATTTCATTCCTCTCCAAAGCTGTACATATCTATATACATCTATCTATCTATCTATCTATCTATCTATCGCTATATATATCTATATATCTATATATCTATATATAGATAGATATATCTATATCTGTATCTGTATCTATATCTATATCTATATATCTATATATATGTAAAACATTTAAAACAAAATGCATTTCAGGGCTGGCTGAGTGGCTCAGTTGGTTAAGAGCTTGCTCAAGAGTGTGAGCTCTGAGCAACAGGGTCGCCGGTTTGATTCCCACATGGGCCAGTGAGCTGTGTCCCGGCTGAGCTGCCAACAGGTGGCAGGATGGCTCAGCTAATGAGAGCACGTGCTCCTAACAACAAGACTGCCTGCTCGATGGTGGGCTACACCTGCCTGCAACTAAGACTGAACTCGGCACCTTGAGCTGAGCTGCCACCTGGATGGCTCAGTGGATAGAGCGTGTGCTGTTAACAACAAGGCTGCTGTTTCGACTCCCACATGGGATGGTGGCTACACCTACCCGCATCTAATTGAACACAGCACCTTGAGCTGAGCGGAGCGACTGGACTTGGAGCTGAGCTTGCTGCGCCTTCCACAACTAAGATTGAAGGACAACAACTTAGCTGTTCCCCTTCCCCAATTCCCCAACACTGTTCCCCTCGCCCAGTTCCCCAATAAAACAAAACAAAACAAACACAAACAAACAAAAAAATGCATTTCATATTGGTAAATAAAGTCCCTGAAAATATTTTAGAAGCTCTACATGTCAATCTTTGCATGCATCTGCATTTACATGTACATATTACAGTTATTTGGGAAAACTCCTCTCTCCCTGTCCCACAAACATCTCTTTGATCTGTTAATCCCATTTAGGTCCTTGTACAATGGTTTCTATTCCTCTTTCTGGTTTTGTTTACCAGATGTTTGTGTGAAGCTAATGAATCTTTCTCAATCAGCTTGCTTAAAAGGCCCTGTTTGATTTCCTGTTTGTCTACTTCACCTCTTTCATTTGTTTCAGGAGAAAGTGGGACATGGTGTGAAGAGCTAGGGCTTGGAATCCAGAGGCTACATTAGTTAGAATTCAGGCTCTCACTCAGAGTCCATTCTCAAAATATCCATTTGCCAAATGATTAATGAAAGATTAATGCTTATTAAATATACTGATCTACCAAAAACTTATTTTAAGGAATATGCTTCTTGAATATATTATATATGAACCCATTTTTAACTCAGCATGACTTACTGCTCCTTTTCTACTGTTACTCCTTCTTGCTTCTTCACTCTCTCTTTCATCTTTTCCCTTTTCTTTCTGCACAAAGCTTCATTTTCAGCCTTCACTTTCTTAAACTGTTGAGTTGTTTTTCTGTATTCCTTTAGATAGATTTTTCCATTTTGGTTTGATTTATTCCTTTACTCTGGCCCCTTGAAGCTGATCTACCTGTCTCTGGCTCCCTTTTATTGTGATTTACCTCTGGGCAGCTTTTCCTTGACACAGAAGTCACTTTTCTCCCCACACATCCACTCCCACCCCATATCGTTCCCACCTCTTAAAAGAAAAGTATACACATTAGAAATACTATTCTTCCACAACACATTTTGGTTCTTATCTTGAACTGTATCTATAACTTGGTTTAAGCATTCTCTTGATTAGAAAAACATCAGGCTCCTAGATAAAAAAAACAAGCAACTAACCCGATTATTTCAAACTTCATTCAATCCCCCAAACAGCCAGCCACAGAATGATAAATAAACACACACCAGTGGTATTAGCTTTCTTTTCCTTTCCACGTCTTCACTCTTCTCATCCTATTGCAGTTCTGCTGTATCTTATTGTCTGTAGAGTGATTAAAAAAAAATATTAGCTGTTTCTTCCCACCCTCCTTCTTTCATCATTTATTTCCTTATGATGCTTTCTCCTCTATTCCATTTCAAAAAGTTACACTGCTCCAAGCTCATTGCCTCAGGGGGAGATCAGGACAACAGAAAACCTAGGTGGTGGGTTGGGGGAATAGAAGAAATGATCTCCTCTGATTCAGAAGTCTAGGCCTTTTTAGGAAAGGAATGAATTATTGGCATGCATAAAACATTTGGGAGAAATATATCCCTCTCTGAGAAGGGTTGCAGGGAGGCAACCAAAGCCAGAGAATGGAAATGACTCTGGTGTCTTAGACAGTGAGGGCTCCAGAGAGACATTTTAGACACTTGCATGTTCACAAGGCTTTGACACAGAAGAGGGAGCCACTTAACCAGAGAGACAGGTGCAGACAGGGACACGAGAGAACCCTCAAATGAGCACCGACAGGGGCAATGGACCTCTAGATGACAGACATCGAGTACCAGAAGGCCCCGCTTGACTCCAGTGCCTTGGTAAGATTCACCTCCTACTCCCTCGTCTCTGGGGGAAGGGGAAGTTTTATCCATCCTGGTGACATGAGGACTTCAACTAGAACTTGTTAGCATCAATAAAGTTTTATTTCATGTACACTGTTGTTTGTGGACAATAGAGGTGAAGGGCTTGACATAATGCAAAGTTTGATGTGAAAAAATGAGCAATAGCAGAAGTGG